GTACTTTATCCAACTGCTCAGGAAGAATCATCTCCAGGTTTTTCTCAAGGCTATTTTTGTCAAACCACTTAACAAAAACCCTAACCCAGTTAATTGTGCTCTCTCGCCGCTTCTTTTAATTCCGTAACTTCTTTAGTGGTCACCGTCTTAAATCTCGACCCCATCTTGACACTGACCGAGATAAAAGAGATGTTGCCATAGCAATTTTGTAATTTTACATGTGAAATTATAAATTAACGCTGAAATTTCGCGCCAAAATTAAGGAGTAATTTGTCACCCATGATATTAGCATCATTGTTTGTTTGCATTGGTCACTACAGACAGCGCCCAGGGCGCTTATTTACTTTCGGTACCTCACAGGCAGCCCAAGCTCACGATGCGAGGAGTTATCTTATTTTTATCTTTTTTTCACTTTTACACCAACCTTCAGCGAAACGTGACATATACGGCCGACATATACTACGTATTACATAACGACCGATTTTGAATACGCGAAACGCGATTCTCCCCTTGCAGCATGTGGAGGTGTTGTGTTACAACGGTTTGAATATATATATAGGTTTGTATGGGAACGCAACGGTTTTGCTTTAAAAGTCAATTATCCTTATATTTTGTAAATAAAATCTACTTACCCTGTTGCTGTGTTGTATTCTTTGTTGTTTGCCAGCTGTTCAGGTCGATCTAACGCGATTTCGGCGAGTTATCATTGCCTGGGTTTCCACTGCTAAAAGAAAGGCAAGGCAGCACACTGATTTCCGGAATGCCCGCTGCTCGAAGCGGATGAATCCACTGAAAATAACCCTGCTGACTCAATTCCTCCGTAGAATCAAAGGAGAGATGTTGAAGTTCCATGTCAGTTCACTCGCTACGCAATTCCGTCCATTAACGCCTTCGCTGCGAACATTTATTTCGAGATTGCTTCGCTCGCAAATTCGAAAATAAGCTAGTCCAAATTGCCATGGACTCTTTCGCGGTTCGCATAGTACGTTGGGTAACTATAATTAGCCCGACGGGGCATTGATTATCGACAACCAATGACTCACCTCAATTTCGAAGAATAGTTCCAAGAGCTGAGATCGAAGGAGGCAGCCAAAATCTTCGTTTGCCACCGACGTAAAAGGTCTGGAATACTGTAGAC